TGCTTCTCCCAAGTCTCGCGCTCATGTCACCGAGAATGATTGTTCCAAAATTTGTGGAGCAACGCTTGTGCTCTGCTGCCAGAGTCGTGAAAAAATGCACCCGCTGGTCCAAATCCTTGAGATTGCGAGGGGCGCGAGCGCATGCCACTCCGAACGCGCCTCCGCGGACGCGATGCTTCAAGCAGCATGTTCGGTCTGACACCTGCCTGCAAGACTGTATACAAGAAGCAACCTTTGGGAAATAATGAGTCCGACTCCGCTCCAACACCTGTCTGCGCCATCCGTGCCCGACAATATTATCAGATGACCCTTCTCCCGTTGCGCTCTGCTTTCTGCGATCCATGTTTCTTGAATGCGCAATATCCCAATCTGGTAGACATCCATTCGACGAGTTAATTCCAAAATCTTTAGGCCCGCGAGGCCTTTGACATTCCAAGTGCCACATGTCAGAACTCCTGAAACATCGCGGCCGCCTCTCTACCTTCCACGCGCAAGCATTTGTTGGCATGGGGTGAAACGTCGTCCACGAGCCCTCGGCGCCATCACTGCTCAGAGCCCTCGCCCGGGCCTTTGCTGGTCCTGGCGCGGCTCTTAACGAGTCGGTCCTCGGCGCTCTCTCTGATCGCCTTCAGCTCCTGGGAGTTCTGGAGGTCGGCCCAGTCCGCCCACTCCTCGTTCGCCCAATCGATCTTCAAGCTGTTCCCGACGACACTCGCCCTGACCACCTCCTTCCCCCCCGCCTGCATGGCGCGCGCGTCCCGGTCGATGGGCGCGCATTCCTTCGCGAACCTCCACTCGATCAGCTGGCTCCGGAGATTCCGGAGAAACCCCAAAGCGACTCGAACCTCGATCGGAGCTTCAAGGTCGCACCAAATCTTGCCCTTGGAAGCTTTGCCGCTGTTCTCCGTGTTCGCCTTGTCCCGGATGACGTTGATCGCCGCAGAGGCGCCCACGTCGCTGGCAAACTTCATGAAGATCAGCCCCTTGAGCTCCACGCCCTTCTTGTACACACCAGTCGGAGAAATTCCCGCGCGCGCCCATTCGCACGCAGTGTCGTAGGAGTGCCGTCCGAGACCCCAGACAACGACAATGGCGTGGCCGCCCATGCCCATCCCGATCTGGCCGGTGCTGCTGCTGATTCTCATCTTCCTCATCCTATCCTCGATCATCTTGGCAATCTCCTCCTCCGTGGCCATCTTGCCAGCGCTCCTCAGCACCTCCTCGAAGTTCTCCCTCGTGACGACGGTCTCCTTGAGCTTCTGGGCATCTTTCTCCACCGTGCTGACCGCGGCCTTGGCCTGGTTGGCGGCCTCCTTGGCTGATTTGGCCTCCGCCACCGCCTCCCTCACATCCTCTGCGCTACTCTTCATCATCTTCCTCATCTCCTGCATGCCCTTCATCATTACCTTAATCATGTCTTTCATGTCCATGTCCTCCACGTTCGTGCTGACTCCTCTGCTTCCTCCGCTGCCCATCATCTCCCTCTCCTTGTGGGCGCCGCCCTTCTCCGGCGCCGCCAGCTCCGGGTCCGAGTCCACGAAGTCGACCTTCGCAACTTTCTTGTCTGGAGCCTCAGGGTTGCTGCCCTGAGGCTTCAGCTTCCGCGCTTCGCCAGTGGCTCCTGGGTCAAGGCCCCCCTTGGCCAGAGTGGCGGCGGCTGCAGCCCAGGCATCCGGCGGTAAGAACTGTCCGCGCTTGCCCTTGACGCCCTTGCCGCTGCCGTCTCCGGGAGCTGCAACATCTCCTGCGAGGAGCTGTCCCTGTGGGGTGCCAGGCGCTCGAGACATCTCGGGAGGCGATATAAGTGAGTAGCTGGAGCGAAAACGGTGTTGAATACTTGAGTGCTTGAGAACCTTGAGCCAACATGACCATGTTCGGGGCTCGGCTAGAACGCTGTTTTGCACTGGGGGAAAGCCCCACATGGATTTTCACCCTGGAGCGGTTCCGCGGAGAAAATCCATCTGGGATCTCCCGACACTGGGCGGGACAGGGCCCAGCCGCGAGAAAAAGGCACCCAAATGAGAGATTCCGTTTGGAAGATGAGCATTGCACCACTCACCCCCCGTCCCCGAGAGCGCTGTTTTGCGCTGGGTGAGGGTCCCAGATGGATTTTCACCCTGGAACGGTTCCGGGGTGGAAATGCATCTGGGACCTCCCGGCATTGGGCGGGAGAGGGTCCAACCGCGAGACAAAGGCCCCACAATACCAGATTTTATTTGGAGAAGGCTCCCCAATACGAGATTTCATTTGGAACATGTTGGTTTTTGGAGCTCGGGTACACCCACATGGAACGCTGGGGGAGAGTCCCATATGGATTTTCACCCTGGAACGCTTCCAGGGTGAAAATCCATCTGGGACCTCCCGACACTGGGCGGGAGAGGGACCAGCCGCGAGAAAAAGGCTCCCAACTCAGCGATGTCATTTGGAAGATGACCATTTGGGGGGCTCGGCTACACCCCCCCTCCATCCTCGAGAACGCCGTTTTGCGCTGAGGGAAGATACCAAATGGATTTTCACTCTGGAACGGTTCCAAGGTGAAAATCCATCTGGGACCTCCCGACACTGGGCGGGAAAAGGCCCAGCCGCGAGAAAAAGGCTCCCCCAAAAGAGATTTCATTCGGAACATGACAATTTGGGAGGCTTGGCTACACCACCCCTCCATCCCCGAGAGCGCCGTTTCGCGCTGGGAGAAAATCCCAAATGGATTTTCACTCTGGAACGGTTCCGGGGTGAAAATCCATCTGGGACCTCCCGATACTGGGCGGGAGAGGGCCCAGCCGCCAGAAAAAGGCTCCCCCAAAAGAGATTTCATTTGGAAAATGACAATTTGAGGGGCTCGGCTACACCACCCCTCCATCCCCAAGGGCGCCGTTTTGCGCTGGGGGGAAGTGCCAGGTGGATTTTCACACTGACAGTTCCGGGGTGAAAATCCATCTGGGACCTCCCGACACTGGGCGGGAGAGGGCCCAGCCGCGAGAAAGAGGCTCCCCAATCAGAGATGTCATTCGGAGCCGAGAATGCTGTTTTGCGTTGGGGGGGTCCCAAGTGGATTTTCACACTGGAACGGTTCCGGGGTGAAAATCCATCTGGGACCTCCCGACACCAGACGGAAGAGGGCCCAGCCGCGAGAAAAATGCTCCCCAGTAAAAGATTCCATTGGGAAAATTACCATTTTGGGAGCTCGGGTACACCACCCCGCATCCCCGAGATGCGGCCCACAAGGCTCCTGAGAGCGCCCAGATGGAAAATCACCCGTTTCAGGTTCCAATTTGCATCCCAGAATCGTTCCAGGGTGATTCCGGAACCTGAAACAAGCAAGCAAAGTCTTTCTTTGGCATGGGCTTCCACTGTATCCAGGGTGCTGGCGATATCCGAGAGGTGCCCAAGAGAGCCCTAGAGGGGGGACCACAAACGGACCCTGCGAGCACAATCTGTGCGGGAGTCCGCCCTCCTCCCAAAAAGGACGGCCGCCAGACCTCCCCCGCACGCACACGAAAGGGCTGTGCCACTGAATCCGCTGGCACGCCCACGCCGGATTCCTCAACGCTCTCCCCCCCATCCCCCAAAGCAGAAACGGGGCTCCCGCTTGATACTTCCTGAAAGCGACGACGCCCCAAAGTGGGGGCTTTTAAAGGCAAAAAAACCAACGAATCGACACCGAATGTGGAATCACTCGCGATGGTTTTTTCGGAGGCCATTTTCTAGATTTTGGAGCCTATTTGGAAGGACCGAAAACGCCCGCGCTGTAGCGAAAGCACGATTTGGAGCAACCAGAGAACAGAAATGGAACCAGCGCTTCAGCGGGAACGACGTTTTGAAGACAAACCCATGCGAAAACGCATTTCCTGGGAATCCGGCGTAAAAAACACTACGCGGAAAAGGGGGCCAGATTTCTTCCAGGCGTTGTAGAGTGGAGAATAATATGCGTATTGTGTCACTGTGGAGGGAGGAGGAGGAGCAGGAGGAGGAGGAGGAGGAGGAGGAGGAGGAGGAGGAGGAAGAGGAGGAGGAGGAGGAGGAGGAGGAGGAGGAGGAGGAGGAGGAGGAGGAGGAGGAGGCAGGTCGCGAACACATCGCGACGCCAGGACGAAGAGAAGGACGAGGAGGAGAGGAGGGAGGGGGGATGGGCAAGTCAGGTGCGCTCGCGTCAGATCTGACGTCATAACCCTCCCTCCACTCCCTTACCGGGGCGTCGATCTCCTCTCTATGTAGAAGCACGGCGTAGCATTATGTGGCATAGTATGGTGTTGCATTGGCATGACATAACATGGCGTGCTATTTGGAAGGGCCGAAAACCATGCCGTGGCATGGCATTGGAAATGATGACGCAAGCGCTGCAGCTGGAGTACGATCCGGAACGAGCGGAAGCGCGGAAATGAGGCCAGCGCTGCAGCGGGAGCACGATTCGGAACGAGCGGTAGCCCGAAAATGAAGCCAGCGCTTCAGCGAGAGCAGCATTTTGAACAAAAACCCAAGCGCGGAAGCGCGTAAATGAGGACACGTAGCCTGACATAGCATGGCGTGGCGACGCCCCAAAGTGGGGGGGGTCTTCTGCGGTCCAGAAAATCAACGAATCGACACTGAATGTGGAATCACTCGCGATGTTTTTTGGGGGGCCATTTTCTAAATTTTGGGGCCTATTTGGAAGGACCGAAAGACATGCAGTGGCATGGCACTGGAAATAATGACGCCAGCGCTACAGCGGGAGCACGATTCGGAACGAGCGGAAGCGTGGAAATGAGGCCAGCGCTACACCAGGAGCACGATTCGGAACGAGCGGTAGCCCGAAAATGAAGCCAGCGCTTCAGCGAGAGCAGCATTTTGAAACAAACCCAAGCGAAAACCCAACTCCCCAGAATCCCATGTAAAAACCAGTACGCGGAGGGGGGCCGAACAATCCCCGGACGCCACCAGGGGAGAGATGAGAGTAATATTCATAGTTGCTTAATTGTGGAGGGGGGAGAAGGAGGAGGAGGAGGAGGAGGAGGAGGAGGAGGAGGAGGAGGAGGAGGAGGAGGAGGAGTTTCTCCTTGCTCGTGCTCGGGCCCTCCTCGCGCTCGCTCGCCTCCGCTGCCCCGCCCCACCTCTAGCAAACAGAGCGGGCCCTGGTGCCTTCGCACGCCCCGAGGTGACGGTCACGTCGAGTCGCCGTCGTCGCCTCGCTCCGCGCGCCAGGGAGGGGCCCCGGCACATGTCCAAGGAATCCGCGCGGACCGTGAGCAGGTCGTGCTTGTGCCGCGCTTCTCCTCTTCGACATCAGTATGACGAAAGGGGGCCCCCGCTGACCCGCTCGGCCAGGCTCTCCGAGTCCGAGAAGCTCCGCATGCTGAATCTGCCGACGTTCGTCAGCGCTGTATCTGTCGTGGTGTCTCGCTGGGCCGCAGGGCCTTGGCTGGCGTTTTTGGTTCGCTTTCGACTTTTCGATTGTCGACCAACCAGCACGGAAAGACAACTGCAGCCCCAAGAACAGAAAACAATAAAAGCGGACCCCACAAAGGAAAACAACGCCGATATTGAAACCGAGAGAAAACGCCCCACAACGTTTGTACCAACATCTGAGCACAGGGCCTGCCGCTGGCCCATCGGCGTCCAGGTCCGTGCCCTCGACGAAGGGCACGGGCGCGGGCGTCGACGCGACGCGGAGCCTGGACTCGCTGCGGTCCATGTCGAAGCGGAGACCCCACAGGCGGGAGAGTGGTCGCACGGCCGCGTGGAAGATGATGTTCGGCGGCGGGCGAGGGGGGGAACTGCGAAGGAGAAGGCCGCCCTCTCGCCATCTGAAGAGTGTTCGGTGCCTTTGGGAAGGCCCAGAGCACTCCTCAGAAGGCCGGGGGACTTCCGAGTCTTCTGAGAAGGCCCGCCCCTTCTCACTTCCCCCCTCGCTCGCCGCCGAGATGTAGAAGGCGAGCAGCCTCTCTGCGGCGGCGACGCGCGTCTCGTAGATGCCCTCCATGTAGCCGAGCTCGGCTATCAGATCTGTGCCGCTCGCGCCCTTCGTCACGCGGGCCTGTTGCCGGAGGGCAGAGGAGACGCCCTCACCAGAAGGACCCCGACGAGCGCGGCCCTTCAGTGAACGCACCCGGGGGAGGATGCGAATGCAGCAAGGCTGCTCAGAGAGCGCCGAGGGCTGTCTGGCAAATGCCGGCATCGTATGTGGGATCGGGGAGACCTTCTCCTCCCTCGAGCGCCTTGGAGCCCTGCTGCTCGCCGATGACGACACGGCCGTCCCCGTCGCCGCCCATCAAGACCTTCTTGACGACGTTGTCCCACAACAGCTTCGAGCTGTGGGGGCTGTGTTCGGCGACCGTGCCCAGGCTGCTGCAGGCCGTGGCCTTGGCCGGGCTGTACGCCTTCATCGGGCTGAAGGTGGTGTAGGCCTCGTCGGCTACAGGCAGGAGTGACCCTGGGCAAGAGTGACCTCTGGTGCGCGGCTTTCTGAGGGCCGCGCGGGGGCCAACCGCACGCGCGCAAGACGCTACCGCCGCATCGCATTCTTCGATCGGGGGGCCCGAATGGGCCCGCACCAAAGGTCATTCCGGCGAAGGGTCACTCTTGCGTGTGACCGGCCTTGACCGGGCTGAGAGCGTTCAGAACTTTCATGGTGACGGAGGGCCGGTGCGCCTTGGCGGCTTCCACGTGCTCCTTCCAGGACTGGAAGCACCTAAAAGAATAATAGCAATAATACGAATACGACTGAACATAACAACGAACGAACGAATGAACGGTAACTATAAACATGACCTTTCGGAGGTCAGCGCATAGTTCTTGAATCCGCGCTGAGCCCCCCTCCCTGGCGCGCGGAGCGCGCCAGGGGCGGCGACGGAGGCGCCGCTGGCGGGTTCCAGTGCAGATCCGAGCAATCCGCTGAAGCCCGAACACTTCCTGCGAGGCGGGAGCTCATGTGTATCCTCCGCCCGGGGAGACGATGTCCTGGGACCCCACTGGGCGCTGGGTGTGGACACATCTTGGCCCCAGGGGCCCCGACGACATCCACATCCACCGCTCCTGCCGAGGTCCCCGAAGATCGACCTCCTGAGAGGTGGTTGTGGGTAAATCCCCGCGTCGGATTTGTGTGTCGTGCCGTCGTTGCTGCTCGTGTGTGTGGTTGTGTGTTACGTGCTTGTGTGCACTTTTTTGTGGTCGAGTACGAGTCTGTGATTGTGCGTGTAGCTGCCTTTGTGTGTTGGTGGCTTCATTTGCGATCGCGCTTGTGTCTTTGTTTATGTGTGTTTGTTTGCGTTTGAGCGTGTGTTTGTACGTGTGCTTGCGATTGTGCGTTTATGATTGTGTCCCTCGAGCACCGGCGGGTCGAGTGAGGCATCGCAAAGGGCAGCATGGAGTAGTGCATCATCCACTGGCGCTTGCGCTGCCGGTACTCCTCCTGTGCAGAGCCGCCCCGATACGCAACACGCAACACTCAGCGTGTTGACACGGAGCTCAACACGTACGGCAAGTTCGTGTCGTGCCGACTTCGGCGTTGTTCCTGACACTGCTGGGATCTTTCAACTTTGAATGATCGGCCGCTTCAAAAATGTCGGATCGCTCAACATCGGCCGATACTGAGTCGCCAGCGGCGTTCAATGTTGAACGTCGGCGGCGGAGTCGCCGCCGGTCGACTCGCCGCAAACCTACCGTAGGCTGAAAGCGCAGGTCTGCCGCGATACGCTCGCCAAAATGTTGGCCAACGCGTGCCGAGCCAACACGCAACGTGATAACACGGACGTGCTGAACACGTTACGTGTTGCGTTGGAGTACCATGTGGGACCTGCTCTAGAGCAGGAACATATCGTAGACGAATGTACCCTTTCTCCCACCTTAATCTGCGCCGAACGTAATGGCCGCTTTTTCTATAGCCCCATCCACCCCGAATGTGTCTATATATATATATGTGTATATATGTATATATACTAGAACCATCGCGCGCGCTTCGCGCGCGCTCAGGCTCTAGCCCAGGCCGGGGGGGCGCTGGACGATCTTGGACAACGCTATCAAGCACAGGCGCGCGACGGCATCTGAGGAGCTTCTGGGGTGTTCCACATGCTTCGTCAACTGGCTGTTGGAGGCACCTCTTGGGTGCCTCTTGGGGGGACGTCTGAGGGTCCCTTGGGGGCATCGGTTCTGCAATCTGAAGCCGTCATTGGCCGTCTTGGCTGCGTGGAGGCCCGACTTGAGGCCACCTGCGGCCAGATTGAGGCAATCCGGAAGCCTCCCGGGGGCCTCCTGGAAGCAGTTTTGGTGCATTTGGGGCACTCTTGGGCTTTTTAAAAACCTCTTGGACGTCTCCCAGGGGCCTTTTGGGCCCTCAGGCAGCTTTTGGGGCCTCTTGCAGCCTCCTGTGGGCCTTGTGGTGGGACCGCTCTGCTGTTGGGTCGCGTTCCCCTTCTCGGGCCTCTCTTGGGGCTCTTGGGGCCCTCTCGGGCCGTCTTGGGCGCCTCAAGCACCGTCTTGGGGCCCTCGCAGACCGTCTTGGGGCCCTCTTGGAGGCCTATTCCTCTATGTGGGAGCGGTATTGGAAGCCTTTGGGGCCGTCTTGGAGCATCGGGATGCCAAAAGGCCGAAAAAAAAACGTCAAAGCCCAATCGTAAAACAATGAGTTGTGCCTCTTGGGGCCACCTTGGGAGATCTCTTGGAGCCTCGTCGGCCCTCTTGGGAGCTTCTTGGGGGCCTCTTGGATCCGATTGGGGGCCTCCTGGGACTTCCCGAGAACCTCTCGGGGTAGAAAGCTCGGATTCTCGGTTCATGTTTCCCTTCTTGGGCCTCTCTTGGGGCCGTCTTGGGGCCCTCTCGGGCCGTCTTGGGCGCCTCAGGCACCGCCTTGGGGCCCTCGTGGGCCGCCCAGGGCCCTCTTGGAAGCCTCTTCGGCTATCTTGGAGCTGTCTGGGAGGCCTCTTCCTCCTCCTCGTCCCCCTCCTCCTCCTCCCACTCCAGCTCTCTCTCTCTTCCTGATCTTCCTCCTCCTGCAGCGTGTTCCGGAAGGCTCCCGCCGGAACATGCTGTGCACAAGTGCTGTCACTGCTGCCGCCACCGTGCCCTGGGTGGTGGGTCAGAGGCCTCATGGGTGTTGCTTTGGATCTCGTGGTTGGCCTGTCGGGGACGTCGTGAAGGCAGTTTCGCAGCTTCTCGGTAGCCGTTTTGGGACCGTTGTGGGGCCTCCTCGGGCTGCTTTGTGGCCTCTTTAGGCCTCGTTTGGGCCTCCTGGGTGCCTCTTGGGGGCCTCCTGGGGCCTCTTGGGGGCTCCTTGGGGCCTCCTGGGGCACTCTTCAAGCGGGAGGGTCGAATTTTGGAGTCGTGGTCCCCCTCGTGGGCGCATCTTGGGGCCGTCTTGGGGCTCTGTTGGGCTGTCTTGGGCGACTCTGGGGCCGTCTTGGGGCCCTCTTGGGCCGTCTTGGGGCGCTCTTGGGGGCCTATTGAGCCGTCGTGGAACGTCGGACAGCCGAAAAGGCTGGAAGGCCAAAATCGTTCGAAAACCTTCGTAAACTTGACGATTTCGGCCTCTGGAAGCGCTCTGGAGAGGCGTCTTGAAGCGTCGTGGAGTGCCTTGGGGGGCCTCTCGGGCCGTCTTGGGCCTATCTTGGGCGTCCTGGAGCGGTCTTTCGGCGACTCGGGGCCCGCTTGGGCCGTCTTGGGAGCCTCTGGAGGCCCTCCTGGACTATTTTGGACCTCCCCGGCCGCCCCTCCTCCCATGGGGGGTCGGAGGCGGCGCCCTCCGAGGCCCAGGACGCGGAAACCCTTTTAAAAACACAGGGAAAATGAGCCCCAGTACCCCCATGGAGGCTTTTCGGCGCTCTTGGACCGATGGGAGCTCGAAAACGCGAGAAGCCAAAAACATTGAAAAGAACATTGAACATATACGACTTTGGCCTCTCCGGGCCGTACCGCGATACCTATCAGACTTCTTGGGGTCTCTTGGAGGCCACCTGGGAGCCTCGAGAGCCGTCGGAAGGCTGACTTGGGCTGCTCGGGAGCGTCTTGGGCCATCCTTTCGCATTCTGGGGGCTCCTAGGGGGCGTCTTGGGCCCTCCTGGAGCGCTGTGGAGGCTGCCCAGAAAGGCTGGGGCAGCAGTGCCGGGAGCGTCCCCGAGATGTGGCCATATCTTTTCAGCGCGTTCCAGGAGCATCTTCCCGGAACGCGCTCGTGGCAGGGCGCCCACGTCCGAGGACGTTGGCATGGGAAACCGCAGCGCGTGATCATTCCAGCGCGTTCCGGCGAAGACCGTCCGGAACGCGCTTGGGCAAGCGCTGGGTTTGAGGAAGGCGAGTGGGAACCGTTCAGGCAGTTTGGGATGCTCGGGGCAAGAGGCGGAAGCCATCCTCAGAAGACATGCAGTCTTCCTGGAGCCGTCTTGCAGAAAACAAAAGAAAAATGAGACCCTGCAGTCGTTCCTGGAGCCGTCTTGGAGCCCTCTTGGGCTGCCCTGGAGCCTGTTGGAGCCCTCTGCGGAATGGTCTTGGAGCCCGCGCCGAGGATCTGGAAAATGTCCGGGACCATCGCGGCTGCCTCCGAGGCCCGGGACGCCGAAACCCCGTGAAAACACAGCGAAAATGAGCCCCGGTACTCGCATGGAGGGTCGGGCAGCTGTTTTCGGGCCCCTGGGTTAGAACCATCGCGCGCGCTTCGCGCGCGCGCTCAGGTTCTAGCCCAGGCCGGGGGGGCGCTGGACGATCTTGGACAACGCTATCAAGCACAGGCGCGCGACGGCATCTGAGGATCTTCTGGGGTGTTCCGCATGCTTCGTCAACTGGCTGTTGGAGGCACCTCTTGGGTGCTTCTTGGGGGGGCGTCTGAGGGTCCCTTGGGGGCATCGGTTCTGCAATCTGAAGCCGTCATTGGCCGTCTTGGCTGCGTGGAGGCCCGACTTGAGGCCACCTGCGGCCAGATTGAGGCAATCCGGAAGCCTCCCAGGGGCCTCCTGGAAGCAGTTTTGACGCATCGAGGGCACTCTTGGGCTATTTGAAAGCCTCTTGGACGTCTCCTGGTGGCCTTTTAGGCCCTCGGGGAAGCTTTTGGGGTCCTCGTCGGACCACTTGGGGGCCTCTTGCGGCCTCCTGTGGGCCTTGTGGGGGGACCGCTCTGCTGTTGGGTCGCGTTCCCCTTCTTGGGCCTCTCTTGGGGCTCTTGGGGCCCTCTCGGGCCGTCTTGGGCGCCTCAAGCACCGTTTGGGGCCCTCGCGGGCCGTCTTGGGGCCCTCTTGGAGGCCTCTTCCTATATATGGGAGCGGTATTGGAAGCCTCTTGGGCCGTCTTGGAGCATCGGGATGCCAAAAGGCAGAAAAAAAAAAAAGCCCAATCGTAAAACAATGTGTTGTGCCTCTTGGGGCCACCTTGGGAGATCTCTTGGAACCTCGTCGGCCCTCTTGGGAGCTTCTTGGGGGCCTCTTGGATCCGATTGGGGGCCTCTTGGGACTTCCCGAGACCCTCTCGGGGTAGAAAGCTCGGATTCTCGGTTCGTGTTTCCCTTCTTGGGCCTCTCTTGGGGCCGTCTTGGGGCCCTCTCGGGCCGTCTTGGGCGCCTCAGGCACCGCCTTGGGGCCCTCGTGGGCCGCCCAGGGCCCTCTTGGAAGCCTCTTCGGCTATCTTGGAGCTGTCTGGGAGGCCTCTTCCTCCTCCTCGTCCCCCTCCTCCTCCTCCCACTCCAGCTCTCTCTCCTCCTGATCTTCCTCCTCCTCCTGCAGCGTGTTCCGGAAGGCTCCCGCCGGAACATGCTGTGCACAAGTGCTGTCACTGCTGCCGCCACCGTGCCCTGGGTGGTGGGTCAGAGGCCTCATGGGTGTTGCTTTGGATCTCGTGGTTGGCCTGTCGGGGACGTCGTGAAGGCAGTTTCGCAGCTTCTCGGTAGCCGTTTTGGGACCGTTGTGGGGCCTCCTCGGGGCTGTTTTGTGGCCTCTGTAGGCCTCGTTTGGGCCTCCTGGGTGCCTGTTGGGGGCATCCTGGGGCCTCTTGGGGGCTCCTTGGGGCCTCCTGGGGCACTCTTCAAGCTGGAGGGTCGAATTTTGGAATCGTGGTCCCCCTCTTGGGCGCATCTTGGGGCCGTCTTGGGGCTCTGTTGGGCTGTCTTGGGCGACTCTGGGGCCGTCTTGGGGCCCTCTTGGGCCGTCTTGGGGCGCTCTTGGGGGCCTATTGAGCCATCTTGGAACGTCGGACAGCCGAAAAGGCTGGAAGGCCAAAATCGGTCGAAAACCTTCGTAAAATTGTCAATTTCGGCCTCCGGAGGCGCTCTGGAGAGGCGTCTTGAAGCGTCGTGGAGTGCCTTGGGGCGCCTCTCGGGCCGTCTTGGGCCTATCTTGGGCGTCCTGGAGCGGTCTTTCGGCGACTCGGGGCCCGCTTGGGCCGTCTTGGGAGCCTCTGGAGGCCCTCCTGGCCCATGGGGGGTCGGAGGCGGCG